AAAAAAAAGCACTTAAAACATCTGCATTGTCTTTGCTATATATTTTAAATTGCTGAATCTGTATAGCGGACGCTATGACGCCAGCTGACTTCTCATTCCAAAGACCCCTCCTCCCCACCAACATATAATGTAAAGTGAATGTTCTCAACCCGTCGTCGACTTCAATTTGTAAATTGTGTTAAAATGACGTCCGCGCATACCTTCTTCCCATCTTCTCTTCGGCCAGGCTCAATAATTTTGATGAAGGAGTAAAACAGCTGTCGGATTCGGGAATCTCCAAGAAAGGCCACTCGCTTTTTCGAAAGGCAGCTTTTGGCTTCACTGTCGCACAAAGACAACCATTGTCAAGCACGCATAGCGTGCGGCTGTAGATTTCCTCTTGGTTATTTGCTTTGTACGCACATGTCACACAACGCCATCTGAGGGACTCACATGCTTTTGTACTTGTGCATCATGCAGCCGTAAGGCTGCCAAACATTCTCCCCCAAGTAACGTCCGCTGGACAGCAGCCATTCGCATGAATCTCGGCCTATGGGAGGTGGGGGGTGGGGGGTGGTGAGGGTAGGGGGGTGGTCAAAGCACAGAGAAGCTCCTGGTAAATAAATACCAAGCATCAAAAGAACACTGACGAAAAGCGCTCTTCCCTGCGCCCATTCAGAACTGCCACCATATACAGAGCGAAATAAAGGAGGGCATCGGCGAGTCACTCATTTGTCGCCGATGGTCGACGACGACAATCCGGTTGTCGTTTTGCTTCCGTGACGATGGACAACGACGAGGCTTTTGTCGTATCGTGATGTTTATAGACAATTGAGACATTTTCCTTTGACTTCTGGGAGTTACTGTGCCGGCTGGCAGAAAGACGTGTCCAATTCGTGTCGTCGCGACTTACGGCAGCTGCTCCCTGTGTGTAAACAACACTCCCCATGCAGAGGACACATTGTCACTCACCAGCCGCGCTATTAGGCAGACTGGTTCATCGACCTGTAAACCATTTCCAAATAATAATGGCATCACCCTTGTGTAATTGGTTGCGGAAAACATCAAAATAAATAATTGCTGAAATAGTTTACGCGCAGTAGGACATTTTTTTCTCTCCTGTCCCTCAAGTTAATCCACTTGTAAATTGGTTACAAATAAATTTGGCATCATGCTCATGTAATTGTTTGAGGAGCATATTGTAATACATAATTGCTCCAGCGGTTTAGACAACTAACGCGCAGGACTTTTTTTTTTTTTAAACAATAGTCTCATATTCTAACGCTGATTGCAAACGTAATATGTACAGACACGTCCAAAAATCCTTGTTACTTCAGTTCCCGTCACGCTCTCAAATGTGAGAGAAAGTCAGCATGTACAGTATGTCTCCCTTTTCAGCTGGATCAGGTGCATCGTTGACCTCACCCTTTTGTTCGGGACAATACAAGCAAGTGTTAGGTTGCACACGCCTTCGGGTACCGCTCAGAGTAGCCGAGGCACGCAAAGCCTCTCAACAGCCACTATTTTTTTTTTTTTTGGATACTTTCAAGGCTGCACTTTCCAAATTGAATGTGAAGCAAAGGGAATGCATATTTGCTACTTCTTTTGTGGGGCAAATATGGTTGGGACAAAAAATGTTACATTATTACTGGCATACAAAGACATTGTGCTATCTTCATGGGAAAGTTAAAATCAGACAGTGTTGTCGTGTTCATCTTACTGAAAAAGAGTTACAAATGTTGCACAATTAGAATTGTTTTACATAATTTCACTGAAGAAATCGTTTTCTGTAAAATAACTGCACTTTCATTATCGAGCAATAATACACACGCTTATCAGCTTCGGTAAACAATGCCATTCACTTATTTCAACTAGAAATCAAATTGTAATCGGGAGTAGATTTCTAACTTTTTGGCCCGGCCCTCCACAATATTTTCTGCTTCTCATTGCCCACCCCTGCTCTACAGTAATCTGTATGTTTCGTTTTCCGTATATATATATCTACTACAATAGTAGTCTCGTCCACGGAGTCTTTTTTTTGTACCACCGGGGTTTAGCCAGTGTGATTATAAAGAGACCAAGAATCTCTTTATGTCGTATTGATTAGCATTACTTGTAGTGGTGCCAACGTTTGCCTGCCTCGCTAATACCCTGTCGTTTTTACTAGTAGTTGTCGTCCCATGAATATCTAAGAATTGTAATGCAATAGGGGATAAAGCGTTTCTAATATAATAGACTGGCTCTACTCATGGGGAGAAAGAGACCCGTATAAAATTGACCTTAAAGTGGGTATCCTGCTCAAAGGGATTAAAGGGTTTTCAGACAAGCATGCTGCCAAAGAGCATGTAAACAACACGGCTCCCTCGACGCGGCGTCGGCTAGTCAGCCCATCAAGCCAAATCCAAGCCACTAAGCCATATCGTTACTACCGCAACGTTTGCCGGCGGTGTTGTCAAACTGCTCTGCATCTTTCGCGAAGTAGAGTGACCGTAACGGCGCGAGAAGCCAGCTAGCATTAGCAATTAGCATGTGCCAAGTGTTCCAATTCCGGAGCGACGGGTGAACAGCTTACCTCCAAAATAGCGCGAGGCCGTGTGGAATATGACGAGTAAAACAACGAGCACGAGCGATATCAACTTGGCGTTCCTAATGGTGAAATGTTGGTTTATTTCACGCTTGCCCAGGCCCAGGACCGCCATCATCGCTCCTCCATGACAACAAGCAGCTGTGAACTCTCCACGGGAGAGTCTGTGAACCTCCTCCTCGTCGTCTTCTCCTCCCCCTTCCCTACCTGACTGCGAATTTGAAAGAGTCACTGCCTATATTGTAAAACTAACCAACGTCTTTGCTGACATTTGCGCTCATATTCGAGACGAACTAGGGATGTGCTGGAAACAAAATTCGACCCGGGAATAGTCGGCCGTAACGCGCCATATATACATATTTTCACGAAATTCCCCATGGCCACCCTGTCCAGGGACGAACTATATGGTTTCATACGTGTCTGATTTTTTAAATCGATTTTTTTGTGCAATACGTTGTCATTAAAATTCCCAGTGAACTGAGGCTGACATTATAAGACACCACAGAGAAAATTAACATTGACTTTCAAAAAAAAAAAAAATCTTAGCTTGATTTTCTCGTTTGTTGTCTGCAACGAGTAGGAAAAAGTCTAATCACAGGTTGATTTTCATTTCTACAAAGAAACAGAATACAGCACGGGACACAAATGGAAAAACGGCTCGTGTATTTATTTTGGATTCCCGCAGGTTTCGCTGAAATCATTTTTCCTACTACCGGCAGATGGCGACAACGCGGCGCCTGAAGACGATGTAAATGATAAATGGGCTGTCACTTAGGGTGCGCTTTTCTACCTCGGGTGCTTTACGCCGTTGCCTCATTCACACCTACTGATGTCGCAACAGCATCAGGAGCAACTGGGGATTCGGTATCTTGCTCAAGGACACTTCGACATAATCGTAAGGGCCGGGTATCTAACAAGCAACCGGTGGGTTGGGAAACGACCACTCAGCCATGCCGCCAGTCTTGTATGATGATAACCGGGTTGCCGTACTTTATGGCATGTGGCTCATTTTTGTGACGTGATATTTAAGCAACAATTTCCACGGTAAACCAAAACAGTCATCATCAAGTGTGCAAAAAGCAAAATGCCATTGTGACAAAGGGGGCAACATACGACAAACATTTGCTCGTGTGCTCACTTGGTTGAGAAAAATGCCACGCAGTCGATCGTCATCTTGCCGCACCTGTGCTCTGCACTTGACAAATTCCCTCGTGTACACCTGACTCCAATTGACCTGCATGCCTGACGTCACATCCGCCATACAATAAGTATGCTGAGACATCACATTCAAGTGTACAAGTTTGAGTCTCCCAATTATCTTGTTCATTTGAACGAATATTAATTCAGACTTAAAGATCTTAACTCTGAATTGTGTTATTCATGATTTCATCTGCATGGGCAATGCACAACCGAAAGAGAGGAAACACCGCTCTCTAGAGGCTGTAGAAGTACTGCAGCTGACAATTTTACAATACAGTACTGTACTGGTACCATAGGATGTGTCATTTCATTTTTAGATATGCTAATTTCTAATGGTCTAAAGTAGTTATTGATGTCTTCAACGTTCATCATATTCACGTATCACTGCAAATATACATTAATCCAAATCATAGGAATTTATTTGGATGCCAAGGCTGTAATATGCAATGAGAAAGCGACATGAAAGAATGCATATGTGCAAGAAAAGACATCACACATTGGCATGAACAGTGTGAACATTTAAAATTAAAATGTAAATGTGATGATCAGGAGCAACAAGGGGGTCAAGAAAAAATGATCGTGCTTCCGTCCAAGATGGATGTTGAAGTCAATGACGACAAGGTCATCAAGGTCACCAAACTTCTGACAGCACAAGTGACACTAAATTTTGTGTCAACATGAAAGCACTTAAGTCAATGAGTAGTGTGTTTTGGAACATTGGACATGCTTTATTTCAGAACTTTTCACAATTTATTTAAACATCTCACATATACAAAATAGGTACAATAGACTTTGCGATGTCATTCTTGAGAGATAAGCCGCCGAAAATGCATTCAGAATTGGATGAGAATGGGATGTCAGTATGAACTCTGGATGTGTGATTTGAAGGGTAAAGCTTGAACAAAACCCCAAAACAAACTAAAATTTCAAGACAAACAAACAAAAAAAAAACCCATGAAACAAATACTGGACATCAGGTTAAGGGGTATTCCACCTGCTTAAAGTGGGAGCCTATCAGAGGACTAATGCAAGACTCCGAAAAGATCAATACAAAATAATACAGATAAGAGTGGTTTTGTCCACAGCTGCAGATTAGCACCATTGATCTCTGCTTCAAGTTACCGAACACCTTCTGATATCAAACAACGCTTGAAGCATTAGAAGCCCAAACATCTCTGTTGTGGACCCGGGTTTTGCCTATTTAAGCACATGCATGAGGTAGTTTAAACCTTATTTTCATGGAAATTGTGGTTTTAAACCTCCTCTTTGGAAGATATACAAAGACCACAAAGTGATGCTTACTTTCAGCGTTTTTATTACACTTCTTTTATTTTTTACAAAAGGATGACATGATGTCCCACAACAAGGTGTTTTCCCGCGTTCCTTTGGGTTGCTGTATTAATTTGCATTGCACAATCGCTCCGTTCAGTCCGTTCAGTCCTCTCCGATAGTTGCCCATCTTAAGCAAGTGGTTGCGCAGTGAGAAATCAGCATTTAAAAAAAAAAAAAACACAGAAAGAAGGGCAGAGATTTTGTTTTTTTTTCGTTCTTTCTCTCTTTTGGGGTGTTAATTTATCATGAGTCTATTTATTTGAAACAGACTGGGCCAATGTCCAAACCAAACTCCTGATCAGCTCCACCAATGTCCATAGGTGCAATGTCGAGGATGGGCAGGCGAGATGGTTTATTTGTTCTGTACTCAATCACTGTCTTGCTCCACTCACCAGTGTGTCTCTGCGGGGGTGGGGGGGTGGATGGGGAAAAGAGAACCAAGATCAGAATGGTGCTGGTCAAGACACATGGCTCAGACGAGCTTATCATCATTAATGAACGAAATAATTACAACTAAAATTGAAAAAAACATTTTCGTGAATGAAATAAAATAAAAACAAGAGTCCAAAAAAGAAACAAAAACTGAAGCTACATTTTACATTAATAAAACAAACTAAAGCTAGCTATAAGAGCAAAAATGTGTTTCATCTTTGTCAATTCATATCGTACATGAGCTTTTGGGGTTCATTTTAAATTCATTTAAATTTTAAATACTTAGGTTGTACTGCAAAAAGGTCGCACAGTGGTTTGGGAATTGGACTTGGTCGCCTTTTTGCTTTTAAATTTTGCACTTGAAGAAAATACGCCATATATAAAAAACTAAAGCTAATACTAAAATTAATTAAATGTAGCAAATCCACGAAAAAAAAAAAAAAAAGCTAACCAAAACGAACTGAATTATATATGTATCATAAAAAACAATAATATAAAGAAAAATCCTGATCTATAATGACCCCAGGGGCATATTGTCGCGAAAACTTGCATTGACTCTACTAGTCGCTCTGGATAACAATGGCAGAAAAGAAAGAGCTACTCACAGTGCAACCGTCCTCCACCACAGAGAAGGTGAAACGGCTGTTGCCCTCAGCCCTCAGCTCCACATCGTTGGAGCCGGCAAGCACCACAGCCTTGCTCAGGCTGCCGCTCTCAGCATCCATGTAGGCAACGCTGTTCCTGCAGTGGTAGGTGATGTTCTGGCTAGCCTGGTTGGACAGCAGGCGCATGAAGGCCAGCTGGGTGGCCATGCTCTGAGAGCTGATGGTCTCGTCATTGTAGGTGAACTGCAAAAAAACCACAAAAAAAAAACGCATTTGTTCTGAAGTTCTGAAAACCAGGTGATGGGTTTTGACTGTTTGCAGCGACTCACCTCAGTTCCGCCATTGATGGTCTCTCCAAACCAGACGTGCTTCTTGTTCTCTGTGCTTCTGAACCAGTTCTTCTTGGCAATGCTCTCGGGTTGGGCATGGATGCAAGTCTCGCGGGTGGCGAAGTCGCAGAAGACCCTGATGGCGTCATTGATGCAACCCTGGTTGGGGTCGATCCAGTAGAATCCTGCGCAGCCCAAAGGTTTGCGATTGGTTTCACGGCATGATTTCATGTCGGCTAGGATTTCTCAAAGATGTCCCACTTACCGCTGGTCCATTCGGGGTGGCCGAGCTTGATGTCGCGGCATGTGCGGGCAGGGTTCTTCCTGGATCCCTCAGGGGTGAGCAGGTTCTCAATCTGAGTGTTGAGGGACTTGATGGTGGCGTCAACTTCGTAATCCTTGGCTCTCATGGCGGGCTGGTCAGCTCTGTACTCATCGTATCCAGACAGATCGTAGCTACCACCAGCAGCGCCGGGAGGTCCAGGCAGACCGGGAGGTCCAGGGGGACCCTAATAGAGATGAGGGAGAGCTTTGATATGCATCTGAACAATATAACAGAGCTCATCTGCATATGGAAAGTATTAAGTGTACTTACAACAGGGCCGATGTGTCCAGGGGCTCCACGAGCACCGGGAGCACCAATAGTACCATGGGCACCAGCTCTACCATCCTTACCAGGAGGTCCGTGGGGTCCGGCGGGACCCTGAAAAAGGAGGAAAACATCTTGGTCAGATCTAGATTCAAAGCAAATCCACTCTGCATGTTCTTAAGTACAGTCCATCCATCTTGGGTGCAACCCATTACATTGCACTCTCGAACCTGCCCAACAATCGATGGTTACAATGGATGCAACGCGAAATGATCAACATTTCACTTACTCTGGGTCCAGCAGGTCCATGAGCACCAGCAGGTCCGGTGTCACCAGGGGCACCCTGAAGGGAAACGGAGAGATGCCTTTAAATGACATTGTCCGACAACATATCTGCATGCAAATGTTTTAGTGCTGTCAGAAATAATCCATCGTCCTGATAAAAGGACAATGGTTTTTTTTTTTTTTTTTTTTTCCTTCTTCTGTATCATGGTGGTCAGCTTCACTCACAGCAGGTCCTGGCATTCCCTGGAGACCAGGGTGTCCACGAAGACCCTTCATTCCCATCTCTCCCTTGTCTCCACCAACTCCCTTCTCGCCACGGACTCCAGCGGGTCCCTAGAAATACATACAAGCGCATAAATGGCACCGTGTGGTTTGAACAGGACATGGCGGTAAACGTGATAGTATGATGATGGTAGCTCTACTTACAGCGGCACCTCTAGCTCCAGCGGCTCCGGCGGGTCCAGAAGGTCCGGTAAAGCCCTGCGGTATTGACATCCAGTCAATATATATTTGTCAAAACTAAATGTTGGGTGCTGTTTGTAATGTGGAAGCCTAGCTGTGGTAACATACAGAGTCTCCACGGTTTCCAGGTCTTCCAACAGCTCCGCTGGGGCCAGCAGGTCCGGGGGCACCAGCAATTCCCAAAACACCAGCGGGACCGGGGTCACCACGGTCTCCCTAAGCAAGGCAGGAGTGAGCAGGTGATGATCAGAATGGAAAATATATATATATTTTTTTGGCAGGTGATGATCAGAATGGAAAATATATTTTTTTTTTTTCCTGTGCATTGTCTTTTTAGACATAAGTTTCGTTGGATACCTTGACTCCAGCAGCACCAGGACGACCAGGAGGTCCATCGTTACCAGTGTTACCCTGTAAAGCAATGTCAAGTTTAAAACTCAAGACCTTGTACTTTCTCATCACTTCGTCACGAGTGTTTTTTTTTTTTTTTTTAATCATTTCAGGATAAGATGGTGTCAGAACTGGATGATGGTACCTCACGTCCAGCTTCTCCTTGAGGTCCGGTCATACCAGGCATACCAATGTTGCCAGCGGGGCCGCGGGCACCAGCGGGACCAGCAGGTCCAAGTCTACCGGGCTCTCCCTAGGATGGAACCAAGTCAATCATGAATAATGGTGGGAACATTTTTTTCCCCAAACGCTATCATTTCCGTTAACGTAATGTGCTTGTCCCCCAAACGCTATCATTTCCATTACAGTGCTTGTGGCGGGAGTCGCAGATGAAGAAAAAAAATAACTTTAGATCATAATGTTAACTGCATTGCTTGACTACTTGTTCTCTGTATGCTCTTGTAACGACATCTAAAAAAACACTCGATATGGTCATGAGATGTGCTGCAAGGGAAAGACGGTCATGCTGCATTGCTTGACTACTTGTCCTCTGTATGCTCTTGTAATGACATCTAAAAAAAACACTCAATGTGGTCATGAGATGTGCTGCAAGGGAAAGACGGTCATCAGAAAAACGGCAATACTCACGACAGCACCGGGACCACCGGGGCTACCACGATCGCCTCTAGCGCCAGGAAGACCAACAAATCCTTGAAGACCAAGAGGTCCAGAAACTCCAGGAGCACCAGGAGCACCCTAAGCCCAAGCACAGCATCATGAAATGAACGAACGACGACTACAAGCCGAGTTAAATGTGCACGCATGTGGCTCGGGCAACTCCAACTTACAGCAGGTCCAGACTCTCCAGAAGGTCCCTTATCTCCAGCGGGGCCAGAAGGTCCAACCATACCCTGCTCTCCAGCGGGGCCAGCGGGACCAACGTCTCCACGCATACCACGGGGACCATCTTTACCAGCGGGACCAGCAGGGCCAGCGGGTCCGACAATACCCTGAGAGGAGGAGAACGTGAAATTTGTGCATCTATATTTTGGGGCTCTCAACGACCCCGGACGAACATAAAATGCACTTACAGCAGGTCCAGCGGGGCCAATTCTGCCAGCAGCTCCAGGGAAACCAGTCAGACCCTATCATGCAAAAATAAAATCAATTATACGGCGATAGTCCAAAAAAAAAAAAAGCCCAAATGGCGAATTTGACTGCACTGACTCATTCAAGATGCAAAGTTTCAGTCACTAATACATTGAACTTATTGGAAATAATACTGTGCAGACGAGGTCCATTTGAATTGTTTTCACAAAAATGATCCGGTGTGGACTTTTGTAGTGCATGTAAAGAAACTTTTTGATTATTCTTATTATTCTGGAAATGACTACTCCTTGGCCACTGCATTAATTGCAAATATATTTGTGTTCATGCCAGCAATGTGCAGTAGAGTGAAAGGCAATGAAAAATGAAATGCCCTTCCACGAGAGAGCACAAGACACAATAAACCGGCAGTATATGTATCCACTTGTCGCCGTTTATACAACAGAATAAGTCACGGCTTCCTGTGAGTAAATCTATTTTGAGATCACTCATCATTTTTGTCAGGTTGGTGTTGCGTGAGATTTTTCTCATGTCAAACGGGCACCGTGGTTCACTAAAACGGAAGCTGCCATTTTAAAAAAAGCAGCTTTTCAAGCACGTTTGTTTAGGCAGGCTTCATGACTCTTTGTGAAGCGCTTTGTGGTTATCAACTTAATTACTTCGATACTTGTGAGTGTAATAAATGCCCAGGAAGAGAAAGCTGGGTTTTCAATACTCACCTGAGGTCCGTTGTCTCCACGGGCGCCAGTAGGTCCAGCAGGGCCAGAAGGACCCTGAAAGGCAAGTAAATGGTCAGATTGAATTTCACGCGAGTGTCAACCAAAGATTCCCAATCATAACAGTCATTTATAATTCACGAGAGTGTGTGCTATGACCTGAAATGACAAAGCAAGATGCATTGACCCAGACGGAATGTTATACTCACAGCAGGTCCAGACTGTCCAGCGGGTCCAGCAGGGCCGGCGGGGCCAACATCTCCCTTTCCTCCGGCAGGTCCACGCTCTCCTCTTGCTCCGGTCTGTCCATTAGCGCCCTGTAGGATGAAGCAATAACAGGAATTGTCTATAGCGTCTAATTCCGTTCTGTATGGCCTCAGTGTTTATCCCGAGTAATGTATTGGAGACGTGAGGATGTTGGCTTACAGGAGGTCCAGCGAATCCAGGGGCTCCAGCGGGTCCAACCTCTCCACGCTCACCCTATGTTGAATGGAAAGATACTCTCTCTTAGCAAAATAATGCATAGATCATCAAACTTCTTTAGGATCAACATAAACACTGGGATTGGTATTTATCTCAACTTACAGGGGCACCACGGACTCCAGAAGGTCCAGCGGGTCCGAAAGATCCACTCTCACCCTACAAAAAGACAAAGTATGAAGAGCACGCCGCATCATCTACGAGGACATGTGTGACGTGATACACCATGACATCGAGAACAAACATGTTGTTTGGTCTCTTCCTGATGATGTGAACGTAAGCTGATGTGAATGCTACTTCTTGGCTTCCGATTGATGCCAGGTCATGCTGGGATGTATACAGATGTATGATTGAGAATGAGCCTTATTTTTAGATTAGATTAGATTAGATATCCTTTATTTGTCCCACACTGGGGAAATTTACAGCCTTCAGCAGCAAGATTGTGGGTAGAAAGAAGAGAAAAGAAAACACAGTTCAATTAAGTGCAATATAAATACAATTAAACATCAGTTTAGTTGGAATTGAAAATCCCCACCGAGTGGGGTTGAATATTAAGGACAACATAGAGTGGCGAGAGACCGAAGACTTTCCTCGCATCTTTTGTTATATACTTGCCTTGTCACCATTGGCTCCTGTGGGACCAGGGGGGCCACCAGCTCCGGGGAGACCCTAAGAAGTCAATCAGAGAAGATGCGTAAGAGCACGGCTCTGCTTTGGAAACGGTAAGGAAGGTCTAACGCTTTGAGAGGGAAGAGACTGAGGATCGGATCAGCACATACACGGGCACCATCTCTTCCAGGGTTGCCGTCGGGTCCTTTGTGTCCAAGCTCTCCCTATACGAGAAAAAGAAAAAAAAAAAGTAAGCGTTTGTGTCAGCCCCACGACTGAAAATGCTACGGATGATACACGTGAATAGATTTGTCATGACTTTTGGCGCAGACCTTCTCTCCCTTGACTCCGGCGGGGCCAGCAGCTCCACGCTCTCCGGGCATGCCGCTAGCTCCTTGGTGTCCAGGAGCACCGACAACTCCGACAACGCCAGGCTCTCCCTGGAAGTGGATCGAAAAGTTTGGGTTCATTTTTGCTGTGAAGCGCAAATGGCATGTACTGTTTTATTTTGAAGGAGTCCTGTTAGCACACTCTAGTAGGAACTCCATTGAGGGTCACGTCCACCATTGGCCTAACGAGTTCTCAACGGCAAACGTCTTACCTTTGAACCATCAGCACCAGGAGCTCCAGTAGCTCCGCGGGCTCCCATAGGTCCCTGAGGTCCGGCAGATCCGGCAGCACCGGGGTTACCGCGCTCGCCCTGTAGGATCACACAGAGTCAGTGGAAAGTCGAGTAGCAATATGGAGAAGGCATCCGAAACAAGGGTCATTATCAAATGCGTGTAATCTGGAAAACCAAGTTCATACCTTGACACCAGCAGGTCCGGCGACTCCCTGGTCTCCTGGGATACCCTGTTAGGGGCACGTGTTGTGTAAGCTTGTTATGCATTAAATGCACACACCATAGCATCATTCGATGTGCGTTTCGGACAGGTACTTACTCTGTCTCCGGGCTTGCCAACCTCTCCAGCAGCACCAGCGGGTCCAGGCAGACCCTGAGATCGTGTAAAAACACTTGAGTATGACAACATACTGTATGTAGGCTGAATTGGTTGTAATTCATAAATGTCTGACTGCATGATAGGGTACTTATGAAGCATCTAATAATCGCTTAACATTGAACTCGAAGCAGAATGTAATGACTTTTGTAACTACAAATGACTCGACCAATGATCTCCAACCTGCGTGCTGTGAGAGATCATCAGGTGTGGCATGAGAATGTATCCGGTTTTACGTAATAGGTACGTCTTTCTATGCCAGTGACATATAGTGACAGGCTGATCAATTCAGTGCTCTTCCATTTAAAGGCAGATATTAACCTTGAATTCACTTTTTGAAGTCAACCGGAGTGAATTGGGTTTTTTTTTTTCCCTCCCAATGTAAAAATATGTGCTTTGTTCTAAATTACGGGTCGCAAATAATGGGATTCAGACCTGGAAACCAGGAGATCCAGCAGGTCCCTGCTCTCCCTTCTCACCAGCACCGCCCTATAATAGGAAAGAGGAACGCAAGGTTACAATAACATGGTATGATCACACAACTCAATAAATTATGTCTTGAAATTGTGAAATGGCACACAGATACTTACAGAAACTCCCATGGGGCCAGTGGCGCCATTGTTACCATCGGGGCCAGGAGGTCCCTACACACATAGACGTTGACACGATTACAACAACAGACTACTGAGTACGTGCTCAATCATATTGCATAATATTATTCTCATGAAGTTGTTGTGAGTCATGTGACTTACTCTCAGACCAGTGGCTCCAGTAGCTCCCTTCTCTCCGGGTTTGCCAGGCTCACCCTAGAGAACATTCGATTCAACAAGTTAGGATATACTTGCTTCTTCTCTCCGATTAGTCCAAATAGTTCGTCGTCTTGCTTCTACTTACAGCGGGTCCCTTGGGTCCAGGGAAGCCAATGTTTCCAGGCTGGCCTCTAGGTCCAGTTGGGCCGGGAGGACCGGTGCGGCCATCTTGTCCAGCAGGACCCTACAGCAGGAAACGGTAACGATGAGCATGACCAGAGCATGGAAGCTTTTTTTTTGGTCCTTTTTATTCTGTGTAGGTGGTTCAACGATTAGCATGACCAGAGCATGGAAGCTTTTTTTTTTTTTTTTTTGGTCCTTTTTATTCTGTGTAGGTGGTTACTTACAGAAGGTCCCTCCTTTCCTTGGGGTCCAGAGCTTCCGGGGCTTCCGTGGAGACCCTGTTAAAAATGCGCAGTTCTGGTTAAAGGTGTGGCTGTTATTTAATCAGGATTTTTGTTCCTAACACAATACCGATGACATGCATCACAATGTCTGTATGCTACAGCTAATTCTTTGGTAGGCTGATGGAGGAATTAGACAAACAATACCCACCCTGGCACCAGCGGGACCAGGCTCGCCAGCACGGCCAGCATCTCCAGGGGCTCCACGAGCTCCAGCGGAGCCGGTGGCTCCACGAGCACCAGGCATACCCTACGTGACATCGACCGTGAGGTGAAAAACCAGGAGCAACACAAGAGGAGCGGCATACCCACGTGTAAGGCTTTTACTTACAAGTGGGCCAACTCTTCCCTCAGCACCGGGCATTCCACGGCTTCCGGGAGCGCCCTAGAGGAGACACACAAGGACTGTCAGGTGATCCCCAAAGCGAGACGGCATCCGATACGACGATCACCACTATCCACTCACTCTGGATCCACGGCTACCAGCGGGGCCAGCGGCTCCAATCTCGCCAGTGGGTCCTCGTTTGCCCTCCTCACCGTGAGGTCCGGGGGCTCCTTGAGGTCCAGCGCTACCCTGCAGAAGGCAGCAAACGGAGGACAAAACAATTAACCAGTTGTCAACAAAAAAAAGGAAAAGAGTAAAACACGAGTGGGGTGTCTTCAAAACTTACAGGCTCACCCTTGGCACCAACATCTCCCTTCACACCCTGAACACCGGGATCTCCCTAAAACAGGTGCAGCAAAAATAAAACACAATTTATACGGATGAACCGATGTAACTTTTTGCTCTTGTGTGATTGTGTGAATGTGAACTTACAGCCAGGCCTCTGGGACCAGCGGCACCCTGAGGTCCCTGAGGTCCAGGTCCTCCTCTGGGTCCGGGGAATCCAGGAGCTCCAGCAACACCGGCAGCACCCTAAAAAGGACAGCCACTTGAGTACCACCGAGCAACCTTTTAAGTAGGATTCCATGTGTAAATGTATGATTAAGATAGCACAGATTATGGAAACACTTACAGTGGCTCCCTTGGCTCCGTTCAGGCCGTTAGCACCAGGGTTACCCTAAGAAAGAACATAAATCACCAATACGTAAACAACAAGAAAACAATTCACACTCCATTTCAACCACAAGCTAACACAAGCGATCTTTATTAGTTATTTCTAAAGGAATTATTAATCACAAAATAAAAAACCCCAAAACAAAACAAATGGTAAGCAGCAGTAGTTTACTTACAACGGGACCAACGGGGCCAACGGCTCCATTGGGACCGGGCTCTCCTCTAGCTCCCTGAGGTCCAGAGGGACCGGTAGCACCAACGGGTCCAACCTCTCCCTGCGAATGACCGAAAACATGCCGTCAATGCACAGAGCCTCTCTTATCTGTGCTTCGGAAAAGCTTCAAGTTTGTTATGTAAGACTTGAGAAGGAGCTGCGTGAACAATTGCACAGAGAGTACAATCAATAACAACGCAGAAGACGGAGAAGTCAGAGTGCTCATTAAACGGATGTTCAATTCTAAAGGGAGCGTACGGGAGGGAGCATGTGACATTGAGACCTACCTTGGGTCCAGGGCCACCGGGGAAACCTGGGGCACCAGCAGCACCAGCGGGTCCCTGTGTGGATAGCAACAGCGGGCCGAGTCAGGATATATGGCTTCATATCTAATGTATGATGGGCACCATTTTGGGGTTGTGTGGCCAACAGCTTGAGCGCGAGACGGTACTTACAGCAGCACCAGATGGTCCAGTGTTGCCATCAGCACCACGAGCACCAACAGGGCCAGCAGGGCCGGCGCGACCTCTCTCGCCAGCCAGACCGCGAGGTCCCTGGATGGAGGGAAAAAAAAACAAGACCGTGTTCATTCACGCAATGTTCTGCTCATTAAGTAGAAGGAGGAAAGAAAGTCACAAAGAATGAAAAGGCGAAGATCTAGTGTGAGCACGCAACACTTACAACAAGTCCGGGTCTTCCAGCAGCTCCGTGTGCGCCAGCCTCACCCTAGATTATGAAGGAGAAAGTGTCACGTCTGCAATATGGAAGAACGAAGAATCGCCTTCATATTTATTGGCTTTCACCCCTTGCTTACCTTGACTCCGGCGGCACCAGGCTCTCCCTTGCGTCCATCCAAGCCATTGTAACCCTGAAACACGGAAAAAGGTCATTATAGGTGATATCGCAGAAAAGATAATTCAAAGCTTGGCCGTGAAGATTTGGAGTAATGAAAAGGGAAATGAATGGTGTTGTTTTATATGTCCTGAGATTGAGGGGTCGTTTAGTTTAGCTTAAATGTTTTGCGAAGTAAGTATAAATATAGTTTAAAAAAATTACTGAATTATAATGTAATGTAGCTTCAGATACACCAGAGAAAATATTTTTCCTTTTTTGAATCATTTTTTCCCCCGAAAGGAACAGCTCTAGTTATCTTTTGGTGGAGCCAAACAACAACAAAAAAAAATCCACATTTCTATGATTTGGTTCTCCCCTTTGACGCCATTTTTGTTCAGACTGCCTCAAGCAAAGTGTAAGACTTACTCTGTGTCCCTTCATTCCGGGAAGTCCAGGGGTTCCGGGGAATCCACGAGCACCCTGTAGTTCAAAACAAAAGACAATGTTAGAGACAAATTGGTATTTGCTCCATTAAGTGTAAGTATTGTAGTCAAGCCAGAGGCTTACCTGAGGGCCGGGGGCACCTCTGTCTCCGGGCTTGCCAGGTCTGCCGTTGTTACCCTGGAAGTGGAAAAGTGGCTCCATTCAATACCAAGAGAACAACAACGAAAAAAAAAAGGGCGCTTTGGATCAGTGTTGACATCATTGTTTACTTACGTCCTCTCCAGATTTGCCAGGAGGTCCGGGTGGGCCACGGGGACCAACGGGACCCTTTAATGTAAAACCAGAATGTTTGTCACCAAAGTTCTCCTACACATATTTGAATTCCGAGAGTATTTTCAAGGATGAGCTTACAGTCTGTCCAGGCTCGCCGGGCTCACCAGGGTGTCCGGTGTGTCCCTGAGGTCCCTGTTAAGACGAATAAGAAGTACGCCCTTCAGTCGTGATCATGCCAGCGGCGCGAGTGTAACACCAGATTGTGATCTGAGTCCGAACCGAAACTTACAGGGGGTCCAGGGGGTCCGGGAGGTCCTCTGTTGCCCATCATACCCTAAGGAGGAAAAAACAATTATGTGTGATATGTTTAAAAAAAAATAAAAAATCATGTAATGCCTTGGAACTTCAACAAAATGTGGTCATGCATGTTTAGTTCAATGGTGTGTTTCTGAAATGTGACTCTGGTGCATTAAGTGTGCATTAAGTGTGTGACAAGACGGGCTCTCACCATGGGTGAAACTGGATCGGGAGGCTTAGAGTACTGAGCAGCAAAGTTCTGCAAAAGACAAAAAAAAAAAAGAATCCATTATTTGCAAAATAAAAACAACATCTCGATGAAGTCAGTGGATGCAAATAAGCTAATGGGGGCAAAATGTTGATGGGTCGAACGTTGTCGCAGCTCGGGCAAAAGGGATTTACATGAGGTTGCGAGTCAAATTCATGCCAATTTAAGAGGAAGTGATGTCACCAGACTCAAGGAGTACGGTACCACAATTGTGACACACAGCTGACCTCTGACTGCGACCGGTATGATCACGTCAATATGCTTTTCAAGTGCACTGTTCAAAGCGTATGCGTCATTCTCGACGCGAGGACACACACGTGCGTGCGTCACAGTCAATACAATGTCAGTGAATGCTTTGTAGGTTGCTTGACTTTCTATTCATCAAAAAAAAAAAAAAAAAAAAAAATAGGGGGACTTACTCCACCGAGTCCAGGGGGTCCAGGGGGGCCAACAGGGCCGGGAAGTCCGGGTTTTCCATCTTTTCCATCAGGTCCCTGGGGACCCTACACAACAGAGACACGTGGCCATGAGCTGAGCTGTCAAACTTCCTTTTGGTCTTAATCTCACTGGTTCCTCTTCAACATATCGCAAAATACTGCGAAAATAATGCTCAAAATCGTTCTGAGCTGAATGAAGTGACTGCATTACAAAAAGGATAGCATAGCTACTATGTTGACATGGGGCAAAATGGGATGTGGCTTAACAAGGTTAGAAGGTCAAACCATGTCAACAGATGTTCTACGTCCAACATTCCTCATTACAAAAAAAAAAAAAACCCGCAACAATGTGACATGAAACACTGTTAAATACGATTCAATTGCCATTTCAGCTTACCCTGTCACCTCGAGGTCCTTTGTCTCCTCGGGGGCCCTGCGGCAGGAAAATAAGCGAGTCAGCTTAAAAACACAGACCAGATGTCTTGCCATTGAACTGCTTCAAAGCGGCCGCCCTCAATAAAGCGCTAGATGCAGAGCAGATCCACTACCACTACAGTAATGAAATGCGCATGTCAACAAACTTGACCTCAGAGACGCAGGACAAGCAAGTTAGGACACATTTTCAGTGACAGGGACATAACAAACGTTGCCCTTTGAGTGCCTCTATGCTTAAACTCTCTTGCTTTGGTGTGCCATGCTTTCAGGTGTTAAACCACACATATGACAAACATTATGTGCTCACCTTCACACCCTAGATGGAAAAGAAGATACACACATGTAAGTTTCATCTTTCACTAAGTTGATGAACGTCTTTATAAAGCGCCGTCCTCTCTGCTTTGCTTGCAAAAGTGGAGAGGTTTGAGGCCTTTGTGCAGATACTCGCTCAAGTCTCATTCGGGTAAAGCGCGGGTGTAGCTGAGCAACGGCGGAGTGAGCAAATGCTCGGCACTACGAGCATGATGTCCGCATAAAAAGTGTTTTGAGATGAGAGCGAGATTATGTAGCAGGCAGTCTCATCTCAAATGGTGCTGCTACAGCTGTATACAATTTAAAGTTTGGGCAATCTCAATGGCGAGTCGGGACGTGGCAATGCAGAATCCCTCGGACTGGACTGCAGATTCAAATTCAAAATGCTAACTGTGTCGTGATTGATTGACATATCTGAGATCAGACATGTTTGCTCAATGTAATCATTGGATGAAGTGACGAGGAGGCAAAGGAAGGCCGCTGCCCCTCGCTGCAGCCCTTAGAAAGGATCCTTTGTGCCACGCAGACCCCTGAGGGTGCCTGGTGGTTGAAGCTTTCCTTGACACAGTCTTCAGCCAGTCAGACCCTCACCTACCCGAGGACAGGAAGGCAAGAATAACTCTGCCGAGGGGGCACAAATTTCTAAATCCAAAAACTGTGGTTGAGATTGCTCAAATCGCACAGGACCTGACGAGAGGAAGCTTTAGCTGGGCTAAGGACGTGTTTTTTGGGGGGAGGGCAAAAACAACAACAAGGTAACAAACACTCTGTTAACATCGTGTTGTTTTCATATGTTCATGTTGGCGTGCATGCGTGTACTAACCAAGACTGCATCGTTGGACAGATGACAGATGAAGCGGAGGCAGAGGGAGAGGAGGAGGGTGGGTGGGTGGGGGAGAGAGAAAAGGGAATACACCGTTAGAACAGAAGCAACACAAAAGCAAAACAAAACACCCATACTGCTAGCTAAAAAAAATCTGATCGGTTACATCTCGATTACAATGCCCCGTATACGCAAGTGTGTTGTAAGAGCGAACAAATGTGACTGCTTCCTGGAGTTTTCTTTGCTAGACATGTGCTTGTAGTTCAAAAGCTGACATTGGTCACAGCCCACTTGAAATGTCAATCAAAGCATTCCGGGCTGCTGTTCAAGTCTGGGAAGGCTAACAGGCTTGGACAGGTATGCCTTTAGGGACAAGTCAAGCCAGTCATCGCAAACAAGATAAACGACATCAATTGTAGTGTGTGTAACTCGAATGCATGATAGAAGTGAATGTACTTTCTACTTTGTTAGTCAAATGTGTTTCGCAAACAGACCGAAGGGATTTTTCAAAGTTGTAAAATTAATTTGGGTTTCTAATTGTCATGTCTCACAGTGCTACAATGTGCATTCGCGCGAATGGGACACCGGGAGCATCTGTGAATGTGGACCAGCAAGTCCCGCTTGACTTCGGGTTGCGCAGGACCTCCCTATGAACTCTAAAGCGGCGTGTCCAATCTGAACCACAAGGTGGCGCAGAGAGGCACACCGAGTGACGAGAGAAAGTTCATCTCAACCTTTTAAGGTATTTCAAAGACTGAAAAGTTTCTGTTGAAGAAACACAAATCATGCACAGTATGAATGACATTCGTTTGCAGTTGAGTAACACACGATTCAATTTGGAGTTTCGATTGGATGCTAGTAGGAATGTAGGGTGAATATAATGTATATGATGTGATCAATTAAAATAAAACGTATGCATCATGTAATACTGGTCAGTCTAATTTTAAGTTTTCATTGACTGCTCTCAAGTTAGTCTCAATCAAATTGAGTTCCAGCTGCAGTTTACACTACTGGCCACACGAGGGCGCCCTTGCGTTTTTCCTACAATTAATCTTCACCCTCGGATGTCTGGATGGAACATTAAGTACAACGCCCCAATTATTTTCTTCCCTTAACCTGAGGAGAAAAACTTTTGGATGAATTCTAACCAGACTAAAAGCTTTCACGACTACTTTCGACATCTCGTTCAAAAGCCAAACTTTTCTTTTTTCTCTCTCTCAGCAGTGCAACTACTCCTATGATAATTATTGTATCCTTGGAAAAAAAAAACACGAAAAAAAACAAAACCAAAACCAAGATTCCTCTGCATGAACTCAGCAGCAACGATCTGAGCTGTCTGTCTTGACGTTGAAGTAAGTTCCAAAACAAAAGCCAAAAAAGATCCTCAAGCAGCGTAGGTGGAAGGAAATATCCAGGAGAGAAAAGAGCAGATATGATAAAACTTACATTGACATGTTGCTAGGTATGAAGTTACTGCAAGCAGCAACAGAATCCGGGTATCCACAAAGCTGAGCATGTCTAAATAGACATGCAGACTCCTTGTGCTGCGGTGCCCCTCTTTTTAAACCACCTTCAAGCAGGCATACAGTTGAGGTGACGCGAGTAACTCCAAACTTAGCAGAAGCCTGCAGCCGTGATGCTAGAATAATAAAGTTCTATCAGGCCTATTTATACGGCAGGAGGGTCCCGGGTCTGCGTGTCAAAAGTCAGCCCACCGGCCAATGAGAGACGAGAAACCCAATCTGACTCCCATCCCTCTCTCCCTGGCCTAGTCATGTGGTCCTGCATCTCCCAGCCTCCTCTACGCTGCCACTGGAGCACGTTTGGCCCCCCCCAACAAAAAACAAAAAAAAAAAAAGAAGAAAAAAATCCGACCCGTGATGACGAGTGCATCGATTTAATTAGATCCATTCTTTTTGAGGACGTGGACAGCGTAGACGTTTAAAAGGGGAGAGGGAGTTCCACACGTTTCTCTCTCCTCGGCGCGGCTCGAGGAGATCGGACGCTCAACTTTGGCTGCGCGCTCGCGCGTAAAAAGTCCCCAGCGTGCGCAATGGCAAAATAACTCGCGTTTGGATTTAGAAAACCATGGACGAAACACCTTTGAATTGGAATTTAACTTCAATGCCCTAAACCTGTTTTTCCTCAGTCTTCCAGCTTGATGTCACATTCGTGCAAATTCTTTCTTCTCCGTTTCCATGTGTGGACCATGTGTTTAATGCATCTTCCCAACGATCCACGTCACAAGCAAAAGCCCAATAATGGAACGTACATAAAATAAAAGCAACTTTACACTATAGTCTCTCTCTCTCAACTCTCTTGCTCTCTCTCCGCAGCTCACCTGTCCACATGACCAGACATGCCGTCAACTCACAACAGCCATACGGTCTTTCAGCATAAGCATTCTGCCAAAGAGCTTCTATCGGTAAATGCATGCATACATACAGACAGACAGAAAGCACCATTTGATTCTATACAGTGCTAACTGCTTCATTATGAATGTACTCAATGCACTTGGGATGATCAGTCAAGAGGCGTTGAAGGGGATTATGATGGCTCTCCTGTATGGACAAAAGTGCACTTTCCTCCCCACAACCTCTCTGTGCAACCGGTGAACACTCCCAAATTCACTTCCCTCAGTCAAAGGACGGAGATGTGCGTAGAGAAAAAAGGCAGGAGGAGGGGCGAGCGAGATGAAATGTGTTTTAAAGATGGCCGAGCTCCCAGTCAGTGCTGAGTTACATTCTCATGTTTGCTTGAAGCGGCTCGGGGGTGCGGGGGGCGGGGAGGAGAACCAGACGCAGAGGAGCAACGAAGTCGCTGAAGCTCCACATCATCAGCCTTGAACTTGTCACGTTCATGAAAAACTCAGAAAAATTTAGAAGCTGAAAGGGACATAATTCCGGATGACCTCTCACACATACACAAGTGAGGTTGTTTTTTTTTTTTTTGCCCACATACACCGGTGAAATCCTTTTGCATACACTGGCAAAATGCTTTCACACATAGGGCTGAAATGCTCTCACACACAAGTAAAACTTTTCACTCGCATACAGCACACGAGTGCAATACTTTTACACATATTAATGAAACCTTTTTGCATGTACTGGGGAAACACACACTCCAGAAATGCTTCCCAAATCGTATATAGATGTGACGAAATGCTCTTCAATGATCACAGTGCTTTCCACACAAGCTTCAACCTCACAAGGCGATCTCAGACAGAGGAGCTGACGCTTTCCATGTAATTAGATGTATTCATAAAATCAGCCTTTTCCCCCTTTTTGGTGTAGAAATGGTCCATTTTACATTTCTTACCTCATATTATGAGTATTGTGGGGTGAGCCCCGCAGACAGATTCCTCCAGATGTGCTGCACGACTATTGGCCTTCCCCCTCCCCCGAGCAAACCTCAAGTCTCAGGGTTTCATATTTCTCATCAGAAGCTGAGGAGAAACGCAGGGCATTGATGGGTGGAGTGATTCCCAGGTGGCACTTCAACTGCTGGCAAGAGAAATAATAATGAAAAAAAAAAATAATGAAATTGCTTTTATTGAAAAGTTAACATGAGTGTCATCATATCATCTCTACAAGTGCTGTGATAAACTGTTAATTTCATTCATTTAATTTTCCCTATTGGATAAGTAAAGAATGAATCTAGCCAGCGAGCTAGCCAGCGACCATCTGAGTTTCAAACCCAGGACCTCATAACTGTGAAGCAGACATGATCAATCGAATTTATCTCAGCTTAGCTTGGGAAAGCGCAGGTGCTGACATGACAGCCTATGGATTTCGCCCAAAAATTACTTGAATTGGATTCATATGATGCAGCGATGGAGTACAACAGGAGTCAATATCGGTCCCAGTAAGGTAGTCCACTCACTAAGGTACCCTCCGAATTACTCATATTTGGATTCCAGGGTCAGTTCATATAATTTTTCCACAGTCAGAAAGATGTGATCAAAATAAGTTGAGGGTAATAAATCAAAAATGACGCGTGCAAAAGCTTTGAGGGTATCCACCATTCCGCAGTTGTGCTTTTATTTTTCATTACAAGAGCGGATCATGAATTGCAAGCACGTTGGGGCGCAACACGTCAGCAGAATGTTTCTCCAGACTTTTGAAAGAGGCAGTCGTGGTGAATGGGATAGACAGCATTCACTTACATGCCTATAGTATAATGTCCTGAATTGACTCACAGGGAGGAGGGGGGTGGGGGAGGACAGAGGTGATCCAAAATCAATAGAGAGATTGGTAGAGAGGGATACAGAGGAAGGTTCAGACACTCTGCCCTCTCTGACTCTGGAGGAGCTAATTAAAGAGGGCGCTGCACGTACGTATGCACATACACATGCACAGCAGACATTCAAGAGTTGAGGTTTTCAAATTACAGTCTGTATTCTTGGTAGCCTTTCCTTCCCTCTCTCTCTTTCTCTGCAGAGGACTTTTCACAAAGGAGGAGAAACGGTGTGATTCTTCTCCACTGTGAAAGAGAAACCATTCATACCATACTAAAACAATTAGCAAACATTGCTTTTTTTAAAAAAATACATATTATTCCCCTATTTATTCTCGAATCTTATGGTGAAGCTAGCCTTGTGATCTTTGAGCTGAGCCCTTTAAAAAAAAAAAATGGGAACAAAAGTGGTGGGTGCATATTGGGTCGGTATAGATTCAAGTTTTGGCTCTGCCTGGATCATCCATCGAGGCATCCAACCCTTATATTGAGCTTGTTGAGATGGTGAATTCATCGACTTCTTCTACTTCTAGCTGAAATGTTGGAACGGAATATTGAATCATTCAAATAAAGTCCATTATTATGATTTACGCTGGTCAACACATTTTTCCATTTTTTTTTTTTTGAATCATAGACCTGGATGGCACTACATTTCTTGAATTTCAATGAAAAGAAGACAGAAGCGATGGTGTTTAGTGAATTTAAATTGGTCTCTCCTTTTTCTCAAGAGCACTTCAATGCCTTTGTCGCATCTCAGCTGGATTACTCTAATGCACTTTACTTTGGAGTCAGCCAATCCTCCATTCAGCATCTCCAGTTGGTCCAGAATGCTGCTCCTCGTCTCTTGACTAGTGTTCGTAAGAGGGAGCACACAAATCCGACTCTGGCATCCCTTCACTGGCTCCCTCTATATTTTAGAGTTCTTTTAAAGATCCTAATCTTTGTTTTCAAATCTTTAAATGGCCTCGCTCCACCTTACCTCTCTGGGCTCCTCACCCACGACTCACAGAGATTTACCGAGAACTAAGTGTTATTTATTTTTGTTATTGTTTGTTATTGTATGAATTCTTTTTGCTCCATGTACAGCACTTTGTACACAGCCGTGGTTGTTTGAAAGTGCTCTATAAATACAGTTGAGTCGAGTCGAGAGATGCGAGAGAGGCTCCGTGACAAAGGCAACGCAGCGTCGAAGAAGCCTCCTCCCGACAGGCCCGAGCGCATAGCAGCATGCCTGAGACCGAAAGCAGCATTCACCCAATGACAGCCTGCGCAGCACCCAGAAAGGAAAAAGCAGGCCAGTCATAAAAGTTTTTTTTTTTTTTAAGGGGACTCTCATTTCATTTCAGTCCTTCAAATCCAACACTCTACTCCACATTTAAGTGGGATGCACCTCATCTCATTTTCTTGATGTAATTCCTCTCTCCTTTCAGTTGGTCCTTAAACCGTAACGCTAACGTTAACTTTTTTGTTTTTTGTTCTCTCTCTCTCTTCCTCAACGTCTACATCTGTATCAGGTCACCACCACATCTTCAGGCTCGGGGGAGGGACGGAAGAAGGAAGGAGGTATTATTAAAGAGCTGCACCTTGGTCACTTTTTGCAGAGGGTGCGAGAGTGAAAGTCGGGGTTAGAATGCTTGCCGCCAAAGAGGTTTTTAGAAGAACAACAAGCAAGCTTGAGGCTGCTTTTTAAGATTTTTTTTTTCCCCCTTCGTGAAACTACTGTAAAAGTGAAATCAATTCACCTGAATGTTTTTTTTTTCTGTCAGCGTAAACGCTAAAGAGATGTGAGTGAGAGAAAGTGAAGAGTCAAAGGCAGGATAGTGAATTCAAAGCAGGAACCTCCCTTGGCTGGAACTAACCCATGGTTAGATTTTGCCTGCATGTCCACATGACTCACAGTCTGGTCAGCAAAGGCATAATAAACGTGACAGAAATATCCTTGTACAATGTTGCCCGAGTCCAAGGCAGGGAACTAATTGCTAGATAGCACTGCGTTGTGGTCTGACAGCAGGGGGGTGGGGGGGGAAGGGGAAGTGCAAGAGAATGTCTGTTAAGTCATTTCGTTTTTGCTTTGGATGTTTCAACGGTGGCCGCAAGGAGGAAATGGTTACAAACTCATTAATTCAATTGAAGCAAAGGAGTGATTGCCACCGATTCGCTTCCAGTTGAGAAACTTCTTTGAGGAATTATTTGCCTTTGGCTTTTTCAAAAGTTTGTGTATGGATGACAGTAGTGTCAAAAGTAGACAGACTTGTACCCAGCCATCCATCAAGCCAATTTGAGTACTTTCGACGTACATATTTGAATGATGTCAATCCAAAGGATGGGAATCTTGCCCCCGCTAACGTAGCCACTACGTAACGACGTCAAATATTTCCTTTTTGTAAGTACAGAAACTGCCGGAGCTGTCCGCGCTTGCCG